CACACTCACTATATACATACATGCTTCACACACATACCACACACAAACACACAAACCACACACTCAACATATAGGCACACATCGCACACACCACACACACTCATCATATACACATATCACACACATAACACAAACCACACACAACACAAACACACACTTACCATAAACACACATCACCCACACACGGCATGCCCACACAACACACAACACAAACACACACTCACTATACACACACCCCACACATTACATACTACACACATACACAAATCACAATACACACACCACACACATCACACACATAACACTCATCACACACAATACACATGCATCACACACAGTATGCACACCACATACTCACAATAGACACACACTTCACGTGCACACCACTCACACACCCTACATACCACATACACTTCACACACATGCATCATACATACCACACACACACTGTACGCATACCACACACACACCACATGCACACAATACACATATACACCACACACACCACACACACAGACAAAACGCACACTCACCATACACATGCCACATGCACATCATTCGCACACCCTACACACCACACACTCACCAAACACTTACACCCTGATGTTAGAGGTTGATTCTATCCCGACTTTTGAGTTCAAAGTTTTAAAACTATTTCTTTCTGAATTCCAACAGCAGCTTACCCACTGGTGACTTTTCCCATCATTGAGTGGAGAGTAGGATTTTAGCTGTGGCCAAGAGGAGAGTCTGTGAGAGGTCTTGGGTTCAATGATGGCTTTGCTGCAGCACGGAGCAGGTTCCACTGAAAGTGGTAACAATGCGTCCCACTCCTCCCCTCTAGGGCAAACAAGGGCAGGGCTGCGTGCCAGAGAGACACCTGCTCAGACAACGCGTGCAGCCAAACAGAAACTATGCATTGTGTCGTCTCCAAACCATGCAGGCCACGCGGCAGCCTGGTGATGAGGCCTTAGCACTCGGCCTCCCGTGTCTCGTGGCCCTGGGAGGGACATGAGGACACGTTTCCATTTCAAGTAGGTGCAGATGTTGCTTAAGTTTGACAAGTGCTGCTCTAGCCCGTAGTTCAGCACATTTTTGTGCTATAGCCTTTCAGTAAGGTAGAAGAATTGTGGCTTCCTTATCACCAGTATGTGATTGGGAGCACGCACACTTAGGGGTTCAGCCACTCTCAGGCCGGGGGTTACAAGAAGGCTGTCAGGGAGCCTCAGCCCACTGCTCTGGTGGCCATGGGAGCTGTGGCTGGAGACAGGCTCAGGTGGCAGAGGTGCCTCACCTTGTCCTGGCCGCTGCCCACAGACCGGCGCCTGGGCATTCTCTGCTGCACAGGTTGCCCCACCAGGGAGCTGCAGAGCCAACAGTGCCCACCCGGAAATGTGGATCTGGGGACCGTACAAGGTGATTCTGCTGCTTTGGGTGACGTATCTGTAACAGGAAGAACTTGGGGGTTGTTGGGAACCCTCTCCACCCCAGAGCTGGGAGACAGCCAGACTCTTGGAGCTGGACACAACGGGCAGAGGGAGGAAGGCCCCACGGCTCCTCCAACCCTGATCCCAGCAAACCTCCTATCTGGCCTTGGGATCCAACAGATTCCCTAACATTCTCCCAGTCAATGCAACACCTCTTCCTTACCCCAGGCAGGTCCAGTGGTTTCAAGTTCCCTGCAACCATCAGTGCCGCGCAAGCTTGGGAGGAGCCAAGCCCAGCTCGAAAGCCCTGAGGATGAGCTAGGCCAGCCCAGGGGACCACGATCTGCTGGACTGTGGTTCAGTGCCCTCCCCCTCCTCTAGGAATAGAAGGAGAGAGAGACAGAGAGACAGAGACAGAGACAGAGACAGAGAGGGAGAGACAGAGACAGAGAGACAGAGAGAGAGACAGAGACAGAGAGAAAAAAGAGACAGAGACAGAAAGAGTCAGAGACAGAGAAAGAGAGGGAGAGAGATAGAGAGAGAGAGAGAGACAGAGACAGAGAGAGTGATTGACAGGTGGAGAGAGGACGAAACCTCAAGAGGTCCCTGGACTCTGAGACCAGACCCACCGTGGGGTTCCCAGTTGCAAGAACTTTGCACACAAGCTGGCTCATGTAGTCTTGGGCTTGCCATCAAGAGTGTTCTATGCACTGAGCTTCCTTCCTCCGGCAGCCCCCTGAGACGCCATGTGACTTGGGCACAGCTGGGACAGTGGGTGTGGGACAGTTCTTGGCCACGCAGGCTGCAGCACCAGTACGGCCCCCTCCTTGGGTGCCAGCTTCAGGTTTGGATCCAGGAGACAGGCTCAGCGAGGCTCTGCAGGACCTACAGCTAGCTGTGCCATAGTGGGCCCAGGAGGGAGCACTGATTTTGTAAAGGCAGGAAAGGCTCAGACGCAGCTGCAGGATCCAGGAGCAGCCCTACTGTGTGCTGTCCACCTGTGGACCTTCCTTCCACGTGTGCGCAGGAGGGCTGCGAAGCCGAGTGTGCGTGAAGGCTGAGAAAGGCCATGTGTGGAAAGAAGCCGGAGTGCTCTGTGCAATGCGGTCCCAAGCACAGGGGACCGAGGGGGCCTCCTGGGCTGGGGCAGGGTGGAGCACCCCCACCGCAGCACCTGCTTCCTGGGAGCCCTTGCTCAAGGGGGCCTCCTGTCCCTGCTTGTTCTGGTCCCCAGAGCTGTCCTGTGCTCCCGTCAGCCCTGTGTCTGCTACTATCTCTGTGGTCTCGCCCTTTACCTCAGCCTGGTGGGAGCAGAGTAGGCCCCTGGGTGGCCATCAGCTCCTGTTATCAGTAGAGCCCCCTCCACCCTCCATGCAGGCCGCAGGTGCCCCGTGCCCGCCACAGGCCCTCGTCCCAACTGGTCCTGGGGGACTCCCGCGAGGAGCGTGCCACAGGGCTGGCACAGAGCCCATCTCTGCCAGAGGCCTCTGCCTCTCACCAGCGTGGGCCCCTCACAGGCCCTGGCTTCCCCCACAGGCCCTGGCTTCCTTCTTTGCCTCTCGCTGGCCTGGAGGAGAAGGCAGTGGAGGGGCTGGTAACCTGCGTCTCACCGCTCACTTCAGGGTCACCCCAGCTGTGCCTTTGTCAGCCTGGGGTGGAAAATGAAAGGGACTTTGTGAAAACAGGGCCCTTGGAGGCTGATGGCCACATATCTGGAGCAAGGCCGGGACACCAGGGACCTGGGGTGCACAGGCCGTCCCACCATGGTGCAGGCCCCGTGGGGACAGTTGCAGCCCTGCCCGTGTGCAATGCAGGGAGGAGACGTGGGGCTGGTCCACCCCAGTGGCCTTTGAAGCAGGAAGCTCAGTATGGACTCGAGTTGTTGTTTATTATTACAAGAACAAACTTATTTTCTGAGAGATCACTCTTAAGCAGGCACTCTGCTAAGGGCTTTACTATTTAATTTTTAGAACTATCTTATGAGGCAGGAACTATTTTTATATTTATAAAAGAGAGGGTTAAGAAACTTGCCCAGAGTGGGAGGGGACATCCCCTCAGTATGTTTGCAGGAGAGCCAAGGGGGCGCCCTGGGGGATGGCGCAGAGCGGGAGGGGACTCAGTCACACAGTGGTGGAGACGGCTGGAGCCAGGCCAGGCTCTGAGGAGGCCAGGAGACAGGCGCGAGGCCAGGGCTGCTGCGGGAGCCACGCCAAGGACAGGGTGTGTGCGGGGAGGCGGCCGTGCTCTTGACGATCCTTTAGAGTTGGCTCCGAAGCTCGCCTGCAAAGCTGTTTTGCTCTTTGAGGAGAAATAACATCACTTAAGATTTCTGTTTTAACAGAAAAAGAAAATAAATACAAATATTATTAATCATATTATTTGCAGGAATGTGAGACCAGCCCGGTTCAACATTTGGAGTCTATTTGAGCAGAGACAACCTCTTGAAAATGGAAAATCCCTCTTTTTTAAAAAACAGTTGCTGAATTTTAGAAACACATAATGTGTGTTCTCTCTACATCCAGTATAATCAAATGACAGCTTAGTGACGACACCTTGTCACACCCAGGGGAACCCAGAGAAGGCAGAATGTCTCAGCTTCCTGTCCCTCAGCCGGGGGTTCTCAAACATTTGTCTGTGGGCAGTGGCACTTGTGCCCGTGCAGGGGGTGGGGGACAGAGATTGGTTGATCTGCGTGTCATCACCCTCATTGACCAGCACCATCCCTCTCCAGCGATCTTTCTATCACCATCCATTCCTTCTCTCAGTTCACAAACACCCCGGGAACGCTCACCACGGTCAGCGGGACAGAGGAGGTCCCTGACTCTGGGGAGATGTGTCCCCGCCGCCCGTCCGTTCCATCCGAGCCCTTTCTTTCCACGGAAGCACAGACACCCCCCTCTAACCTGCACTCTTTTCTTTAGGCAACTAAGCCTCAACAGTTGAATCTATCTAAAACTAAAAAAGAAGAAATGGCATTTTATTAGAGATTTTTTAAAGATAAAAAGTAATCAAGCCTCTAAAGAAAAGCCTCATCACCCTGTGGCCTCACCAGCCATCATGACACGCTGTAATTTGGAGAGAGAAGATGCATTATACTGCATCTTAATATCAGAAAAACCCGCCGTCTTTGACTCAGCAGTCCCACTTTTAGGTTTGTCTACTGCAGAATAAAAGCCTTAGTACGTAGACACTAGAACACAAAGGCTTTCATTTTCAGAATTATAACACAAACACGGAATCGACACAAATGTTCACCGACAGGGGCAGAGGTGAAAACATTATTGTAAGGTCCACTGTGGAATCTAATGCATCTATGAAAAGTAATGAATCAGTGACATCCAAATTAATCTGGAGAGATGTTCATTATTCAGTGAAATAAAACAAGCTGCTGAGTCCCATGTACAGTAGCATTTCATTTTTTTTTTGTAAAAAGAACAATAATGGCACCCTGTGCATCTAAGCAAAGTTTAACCACGGCGGCTGCACCTCAGACCGGAAACATCGGACACTCCAGTGCCGGGGCGTGAAGAAGGTTAGGAGGGACATTCCAAACGATTTCAGCACACAGACCTTTTTTTAATTTTTAATTTTTTTATTTTTTTTTAACTTGTTCCAATGAACATATATCACTTTCAAAAGGAAAAAAGAAAAGAAAAAAATCTAGTGATTTAGCAGGAGTCAGTCACAATAGTAACAAGACAGAAAAAGACTGAAAGCACAGCCCCTCGTGGGGCGTTTCAGTGGATGAGAGAGCCCCTGTCCTGTTCTGTGCCGGGGGCTGGCAAATTTGTGGGTGTTCCGGGCTCCGTGGGCCACGTGGTCTCTGCTGTACCACGAGAGCTGCCCTGTGTGATAGACCTGTAAGCACAGCATGTGACAGGTAGAGGGGGCCGGGCTCGAATGAAACTATTTCTCGACACCAGAATTTAAATCTGGTATAATTTTTGTGTGTCACAAGATGTTATTTTTTTAAAAATGTTTCAATCTTTTAAACATGAGTCTCTGGGCCATTCATGTTAGAAAGTCAAACAGAATCAGCATATTTCACTTCAGAAAAATACAACCCTCTCATCCCAATATGGATGGATGAAATCAGGAAAAAATATTTAATTAAGGGAAAAAAGTGCTTAACAAGGCCAGGAAATGTGGGAATAAAGAGATGCCGAGTTCTGCACGTGATGGGCTGTGTATGTCCCTCTTTATAACATAGAAATAAAAACTTTTTTAAAAGTGTGAAAACCATCTCAACTTGTGCCTGTTTGCAAAAATGCCGTGGCCCAGATGTGGCCGGGGGCTGTGGCTGCTGACCCTGGTTCCAGGGCCGCACGGGTGAAGGTGGCAGGTCCTTGCCCTCAGACGGAAGCAGGCAGTGGCTTGGGGAGAAGACAAACTCCTGCAGCCTCTCAGTCTTCACGAGCGTCACCTCTGGCTTCTCCCAGCCTGGGATTTGTGTCTAAAGCCAGGCTGCCCGGGCACGTGTGAAAGCTGGCCAAGCCCAGAGGTTCCTCTCACCTGGTGGCTGGCAGGAGGTGTCCGCAGGCCTGAGGAGCTGCATGGCCTAAGGTCAATTTTCCTGGGTGGGGGTGACTCACCTCCAGCATTCCTGGTTCCTGAACAATAGCAGGTCCACGTCCACACAGCCCCAACTTGGATAAGGGCACACTTTCAAAGCAGTGGACTGACAAGCAATGCCAGGAAGAACTGGGCTTCCTTGCCACAATGTTCTATGTGGGGAGAGGAAGGATCCTAGTGTTATTTGAGGTGCAGAAAGATGGCTTGGTGGGCGTGGCGGCAGACTGGGCTGCAGATGCAGACGACAGGGATGCCTGCGAACCACAGCCGAGCGTTGGAAGGTCGCAGCCCTCCTTCCCCGCTAGAAGCAGGAGTCACGGAAAATAGTGACACAGCTGAAAGCCAAGGGTTTTCCTGGGCGGGCACCTGACCTGACTTTATTCAGATCCCATGCTGTCTGAGAACAGAGGGTCGAAAAATCATTCTTTTGCTCAGGACGTGTGTTTTGCACAAATATCACTTTAAATAAATTTTCTACAGCCTTTAATAGATCTCTGTTCACCTCACTCAAATTAAACATTATTAAAGATAAAGACAGCATTTGGGCCTTAATGCATTCCAGGCCACCAGGGACCAACAGGAAAGAAACGATCCACAAAAGCCACAAATGCCACAGGATCCACAAAGCCACAGAAGCCACAAAAGCCACAAAAGCCACAAAAGTCTGCCATCTGCTGCAGAAGGGATCTGAAATCATCTGGGCTTTGGAGGCGCAGCTGGATTCACCCTGGCAATGCTGTTTCCTCAGGCGGTGGCTACATTCTTAAGGAAAACGTAGGCCTGCTTTCTCCCAAGTCTACAGCTGCAGGCGACTTTAAGCCATTTTTGTTTGTACCAGAGCATTCTGTCTGTTGGAGATCTGTTTCAGTGACATTTGTTCAGACTGTAATTTTTTTTAACTGAAAAACCGAACAGAAAACAACAAAACAGAACTGCAGAACTCAGATCTCATGAGTCACGGACTTGTCCTTTGGTTAAGAACCAGGTATGAGGAGTGACAAGGTGAGGAGGAAAGAGGGAGGAGAAGGGAGGGAGGAGAAATGGGATGAGGAGGAAGGAGGGAGGAGGGATGGGGTGAAGAAGGAGGAGGGATGGGGTGAAAAGGGAGGAGGGAAAGAGACAAGGTGAGAAGGGAAGACAGGTGGTAGGGAGGGAGGAAGGAGGAGAGAGGAGGAAGAGAGATGGGGTGAGGAGGGAGGAGGGACAGGTTGAGGAGGGAGAAGGGGTAGAGTCCGGATGGAAGGAGGAGGAAGAGGGATGGGGTAAGGAGGGAGGAGACAGGCAGGAGGAGGGAGGAGGGAGGAGAGAGGTCGCATCGCCCTGCTGCACTGCCCATGTCCACCGACTTGGGGACTCCAGCCAGCCAGGCAGCTGCCGGGAAAGCCAGTGTGTCTGCCCTTTCACATGACTCAGAACACACCGGAAAACCAGCCAACTGGTCTCTGACAGAGCATCAGAAAGTGCCACCTATGGAATCCCAGGTCCCCAGCTGCAGTTTGTCCCTCTGTTGCCAGCGCTTTGCAGTGTCCGTTTTCCCGCTCTCAGACAAGGACATGGTCGGGTCTGCCCCACAGACTGGGCAAATCCTCACCGCCCGGCATGCAGCTCGTCCTGAGGGCTGTGGGTTCTTCATGGGGCTTGCTTTGGTGCACCTGGCTAAATATTACTGGGCTGGCATAGCGGAGAAGGGTTTGCTGTGTTTAGCTGAAGTGGACATTTATTCCTAAATTGTCAACCGGCTGCCTCCCATCCTTCTGTTCCTGGCGTGCTTGGGAGCTGAAAAGGAGAGCAGCTCTTGAGGCCTCTCCACCGGGCAGGGCAGGCACGACGGAGGTCCCGCCTGAACCTGAGCCACCATCAGGCTGGCTCTGGCAGGGATGCGGGCCAAGGTTAGAGCTGGCCTGACCAGGGCGCCCGGCGGCCAGACCTGAGCCGGGGCCCCTTTCTCGCCCACGCTCCATGTCCAGCCAGGGTCAGCAGGGGCTCTGCTCCACGCAGTCACTCTGGGCCCCAGGCTGTGGTGACTCAATCTGGACTTGCTATTTATGGCATTATTTCAGTCCTGCTAGAGTTCAGTGAGAGCTTAGAAATTAGGGAGAAAGATTCACAGTAGGGGGCTGTTCCGTTCAGTGAGATTTTCCAGACACCTGCTTCCTCAGCTGTGCATCTAGTACCTTGGATCAGCAACCAGCCTTCCCTATGAGGATCATATCATTCAAAAGTGTGCTTTCAGTGGCGTCCATCCCAACTAAAGTAAGTGTTAGACAGGCCAGGTCCAGATGTGGGCCATGCAGACCTCAGGGCCTACAGGGCTGCCACCAGACAGGCCAGGTGCAGATGTGGGCCATGCAGACCTCGGGGCCTAAGGGCAGTCACCGGACTCCTGAGACTCCGAAGGATTTGTAAACGATTCCAAGCAACTCGTGCTTGGGGAAAGAAGAGGAGCTGCATGTCACACCTGGGCACCAACATTTAATTTTGGGATCCTTTAGATGGTAGTGAGAGTTGATAAACTGATTTCTTTTTAACAGGAAGTGTTTGACAATCATTGGCAAACTTGGAGGAAAAGTTTGGGGCACATTCGGTATCTCTTTTTTAAAAACCACGCTTTTAAACAGAAACATCTGCTATTCTGGTATTAAAGGCTTTGGAATTTGGGAACTGGTGAGGGATGCAAATGCTCATGTCACTTCATATTCACACCTTAAGAACCAGAGAAGTGATGGATTGCTCGGCCTTATGCCTAATTCCAGAAGGCACTCCTCGTTGGCAGGTGTATTAAGAGAAAAAAAGTCCTCTTCCTATCTCTGGAAAGAAATTATCCGGGCATGCTGGGGCATACCAGCCGTCTAGCTGCGTGACACGTGGAAGCAGGAAGGTGGCTGGAACCAGGAGTTCAGAGCTGCAATGAGTAAGGATTGTGCCACTGCACTCCAGCCTGGGCAAACAAGACCTCTTCTCCAAAGATAGGGGCCATTGACCAAAGACCCTCAGAGTGCCTGTGTTGTCAAAACTAGTCATGGCGCTAAAATTACCTGGCTTTTTTTCACTATTCTCAAGTAGGCAGTGGCATTTCTACTGGTGCAAAATATGCACAAGGACATAGGAAGCTAAATGTCTTTATTTTTATTTATTTGTTTGTTTATTTATTTATTTATTTATCTGTGAGACAGAGTCTTGCTCTGCCACCCAGGGTGGAGTGCAGTGGCCCGATCTCGGCTCACTGCAACCTCCATCTCCCGGGTTCACGCCGTTCTTCTGCCTCAGGCTCCCAAGTAGAAGGGATTACAGGGCTGCACCACCGCACCCAGCTAATTTTTGTCTTTTTAGTAGAGATGGGGTTTCGACATGTTAGCCAGGCTGGTCTCAAACTCCTGACCTCAGATCATCCACCTGCCTCAGCCTCCCAAAGTGCTGGGATTACAGGCATGAGCCACAGCGCCTGGCCTGCAGCTAAATGTCTTTAAAGAGTTCTATGTTTTGATTTCTAATGTTTTTGTAGTTCGCCTAAGAAATCATCTAGTCTAGTCTATCAATGCATTTATGAATTGAAATAAAGATGACAGTACAAAAAATTAAGCGTTTTGTCTTCTGCAATCACCGCTGCAGAAGAGAGGCAATGTCGTCAGTGGTACACTAGGGGTTAAGGTTTTTCATCTGGAAGTGACACACAACATTTCTGCTCAAATTTCATTGACCAAAGCACATCACACGGCCACATCTAACCCCATGAAGGGTGAAGTGCAGTCTCATGTGGGTGGAAGGAGAAGAAACATTTGTTAACTGCCCTAATAACTTCCCAGCAATGTTGTGAAGAAGAGAAACACGTTTGACGCTGTCTTAAGAAACATATGTAAGAAACATATCTATGCCTTCACATTACTGCACGTCATTTTCATATTCTTTGTAGTTATCTTTGTTTCGCAGATTTTTATAATAAATATTATTTTTATAATCTAAGCCATAGCAAATTAAATAATAAATGTTTTTCTAAAGGAACCCATAGAGTGTTACAGACAGGAAGTCGGAGTAGCCAGAATAAGCTGAGATGAAATCATCTCAAATATCTGTACCGCTGTTCCAACTTACAGCCTGCTGAGTCTTCCCGCAGGAAACCGTGTCCCTGTCAACGTTCCTGTGGGACCTGGCCAGATGTGGAGTGGGGTTCAGGCACGTGTCTCTGGCCTCATCCCGGGGTGTGTCTGGTGAGGCTCTGCCTGATGTCTCCAATCATACTGTTTATTTAAAAAACAATAATAAAACAAGAAAAGAAACAACTTTGCAAGGTATTTATTTTCAGTTCTGGCGACAGGGAGGAAAGGCTGACGCAGTAGACAGGAATCTCACTCACTGAAATTAGGCCAATCTGAAATCTACGTTTTCTGCCAGGCAGAAAAAAGAAAAGGTGTGATTTTTGTTATTTTTAATTTTTATCTTATTGGGAACAGAGGAAATCATTTCGCCATCCTGTTTTTTTTTCCAGGAGGTTTATTTAAGTCCCTCTGTTTTCCCCTGTGGTAGAGGTAACACTGATGAAGACAGCTGGTTCAGAGACTTATTAACGAAGGCATCTGCTTGTACTTCGATGCAGCTCAGCCAGGAAAAGTGCTGAAAGAAAAAGAAAAGCAGTTTTGCGTGAGGTGAGAACGGTGCTAAGACACGTCTGTTCTGGAATGCCCCGGGGGGGATTTTGCCTCTCCCCAGGCTCACTTTCTGACTAACGGAGACTTTCTGACAGGTCTGAGGGCCAGCTTCTGTGATTCCCACCTTGTCTCTGCAATCAGCTCGCAGTGTCCTCGGATCTTTGTGCTTCCGCTGCAGTTCCCTTTGGGTTCCATGTTTTCCTTGTTCCCTCCCATGCCTACCTGGATTGCAGAGTTAAGTTTATGATTATGAAATAAAAACTAAATAACAAAAAAAAAAGAAAAGAAAAGAAAAAGGAAACTCCAGAGCATCAGACTCGCTTTGTGGAGCTGTGCTGGTCTCCTCTTTGGTTTTCCTGTGTAAGGTGTGACCTGGGAAAGCCTTGGAAAATCTAGCTCAGCCCAAGCGAGGATCCTTAAAGGCAAATGCCCATCAGGGAGCTAAATTCAGCCTGACCCAGGAGCCCTTGACAGGCAGTCGCACTGCTCCACACACCAGCATCCCCAACTTGGGCCCATGGTTCATACCACTTAACAGGTGGTGTTGAAGCCACGATGAAAACACCAGTTTCCTAGCTGTGCCGTCGCCTCGGTGTGAGGACCAAACCACACTGCAAAGGCCAAACATCCGTCTCTCTACGTGGAACGCTGTCGCCAGTTTGCTTTTTCAAGCAATGATTATTTTATTATGAGATATTTTAAGCTTGCAGAAAACAATAAAAAGAAAAACTGTCTACACATCATTCGGCTTTATCAAGTGTTATCATTTAGCTATACTTGCTTCATATCTTTTTAAAAATAAAGAAAACATCACATATTCAGTTGAAGCACTCGTTCTAGGTGGCTTTCGTCCCAAGACCATTCCTCTTTCCACTTCCCCAGAGGAATCATTATTCTAAACTGATGTTTACCATCCGTTGGTGTATTTGTATACTTGTATTACATGTGTACAATTGCATAAACGATGTAGCATTATTCTGTGTATTTCACAAACTTTGTAGAAATTACACTGTATGTATAGTTCTGAAACTTACTTTTTCAACTCGATGCTGGGTTGTGTAGCTTTATGTACTTAAGTTCACTCATTGCAATACTGCAAAG